TATATATATATATATATATATATATATATTAGTTATTATTACTTAATCAAAACAACCCATCTGCAGTTTGATTGGTATTACTTTGGAATGTACAAAACAAAAACATTATTTATGAAAATTTACAAAAACAAAGCTATCTGTTTTTGGAAATAAAAAACAGATAACTCTTCATTTATAACAAATAAACAAACAACCAAATAAATAAATAAATAAATACATTTATGAGTTTGTGTTTGTATGTAGACCTACATTTTTGCAGTCCTGCTCTAATCCTAAAATCTCCTCCATGATCCACACTATAAACACAAAAATACACATACATTATAAAATGGTGCATATTGCTAATACACAAAACACACACATTTTTACATACTTTTAACTCTTTCCCCACCAGTATAAAAAAAAAGAAGTCAGCCACAGTCAGCATTTTTTTTTTATCATGTTTACAAAATAAAAAAAGAATATCTAAACATGCAATATGTCAAAAGAAAGAACAAAGCCTCTGCTTTTAAACAAGAAAAAATGCAAAATATATTTATCTCTGGCTTCATGCATTATTATTTAATTTTTTTTATCAACATGTGAATGTGGGTAAGTTCCATGTTTTTTTTGCAGAAAGCAGCTTAATCAAACATGAGTGTCATTACCAAAAATTACTTGTAGTTCTGTGAGGTAAACCAATTCAAATCAATTACATTTGATCACATTTCAAGGGAGCATGTTGCATGTATGAGCAGCAACTGCCAGCTGTGTGGAACTGCTACTAAAATCAAATGCTTTCATTGCATTTGAACAGTCAAATACACACACAGAATTATATCAAAATGCCCCTCTTGCCAAGTATTCACATCAACCCTTTGGCTATGTCTTAAATGAATATAAACATGTGCGTTAGGTCTTAAAGTGACAGCAGCCTAACATACCTGCTGCTGCCTGTGTCATTAATGTTAATCAAACAACAAATGAAAAAGAGAGAATCACTATTCTTGACTGAATAACATAATAATAATAATAATTGTGAAACTTCACTGGTATCTAAAGTTACAGCCTTACAATAAAAATTCCTTATTCCCAGAAAAAATAACTATATCACAACATATATTGTTTACGCGAAAATTAAATTATTCCTATTGTGAATAAGATTTTGGTCATATCACCCACCTCTATGAATGTACTTAAATAGAACAGAATCAAATCAATAACTGAAATTGAAACAAATCTTTTTGTCAATCGTATTGTTTTGAATTTGCAAAAATTGCTCTGAAATGAATAGAAAACCAATGAATCATGAAGTGAATCGATGGCGGCAGCCATAGTGCGCCAGATCGCCAACCACACACCAGCTTATTCGTGGAGAGGAGAGCAATGCAGCCAATCAGTAAATATGGGGATGATTAGGAGGCCATGATGGTCAGAGGCCAATGGGCAAATCTGGCCAGGATCTCGAGGTTACACCTCTACTCTTTTCAAAAGACTTCCTGGGATTTTTTATGACCACAGAGAGTCAGGACCTCGGTTTAACGTCTCATCTAATGGATGGCGCTTTTTGACAGTATAGCGTCTCTGTCACTATGGGTTGTTAGAACCCACACAGAGCACAGGCTGAGCACCACCTGCTGGTTTCACTAGCACCTCTTCCAGCAGCAACTAGGTTTTCCCAGAAGGTCTCCCATCCAGGTACTGACCAGGCTCAACCCTGCTTAGCTTCAGTTGGCGACCAGGCAAGAGCTGAAGAGTGATAGCTGCTGGCAAACATGAATGCAATTTTTTTTTCCAAATCACAGAAGTGAGCTGCTATTGATGACATATAATTTGCATATTTGCTCTCTATGTGTCATTTTGGTAGTAAATCCTATGCATGAATAAAACAATGAAGCTGGCATCCTTTTGTCCTGAGTTAGTCATAGTCGTAAACATCTCCTGCTCATGGTGGAACTCACATAATGATGTGAATATACTTTGATTCAAACCCAAAATGTGAAATGAGATCAGCAACAGAGAGGCGATCACATTCATTTTGAAAATATATAAAACACATACTTGAGTGTCTGCAGTGAGCAGTTTGGATCATTCAGTTTGTCACTGAGTCGCTGGACTCCTGAGTGTCCTGGGTGATTGTAGCTCAGATCCAGCTCTCTCAGGTGTGAGGGGTTTGAACTCAGAGCTGAAGACACAAAACCACAGCCTTCCTCTGTCACCATACAGCCAGACAACCTACACACACACACACATACACATGTGCACACACGTGTTATCTAAAAGACAACATTGTTGATTTAAATGACTTTTGTTTTTACAGTAATGTAACCTCAGCTTAACTTTCTGTTTTCCCAATAATTTTTCAAAAACAGCTAAATCCCTCATCACCAATTCTTATGTAAATTTTACGAAATAGTAACAAAGACTTGTACACATTTACAATTAGTAACAGAATATCTTGAATCCATGGCATAAGAAATAGTAGTAATAATTTTCTGGACACTCCTTGCTTTTTCTTATTTATTTACAGCCATAGCAAGCAGTGTACAAAATAATCCACATAATTACCTTAATATTTCTAGCTGACAGTTTGGATTCTTCAGTCCATCAGAGAGAATCTTCACTCCTGAATCCTGTAGGCCATTATTAGTCAGGTCCAGCTCTTTTAGGACAGAGTTCGAGGATTGTAGAGCTGATGATAAATTCTCACAACACTGATCAGTGAGATTACAGCCAGCGAGTCTATACAACAAGGAACAAATGATGCAGATATCCAGTTAGTCATAGTGCTATGTCCTAAAAGGTGCATAGGTTTCATTTAGTTTCATGCTTTAGGATATACTGAATTAAGAATGGTGTTATGGTATAGCATGTACTTAACTATATTTCTTATTATATTTCTTTATTTCTAGACATTTTGTTAGCTATTAATTCATTCATTTGAAATGTTGTCATCTAAGGCAAATATTACTTAATTTTGCAAGATAATATACTCACAGAGCTTTTGTGCAGTTGCTCACAGCTGGTATGAATCTTCTTCTACCCTCATCTGATGTGTTGTATCTCTTCAGATCAAACTCATCTAGCGGCTCCTCTGACATCTGAAGCATGTAGGCAATTGTTGAGCATTGAGCAGGAGAGAGCTTCTTCTCTGAGTGTTTGTCTGATTTCATAAACTCCTGAATTTCTCTGGACAGACTCTGATCTTTCACTTCCAGCAGGCAGAGGAACAGATTGATGGATCTTTCAGTGGAGAGTCCATGTCCATCTTTGATCTTCTCTTTAATGTACTGTGAAGTTCTCCTGATGCTCTCTGAGCTGTTCTCTGTGTGTGTCAGTAGATCCTGTGAGAGTCTCTGATTGGACTCCAGTGAAATGCCCAGCAGGAACCGCAGGAACAGATCCAGCCGTCCATTCTCACTCCCAATGGCTTTATCTATTGCTCCTTGATGCAGATAATGCATTGAATCAAAAACCATAAGAGTCTCAGTTGTACTGTGTATATAGCAGTAAAACACATGAAAAGCAGCGAGAAACTCCTGAATGCTCAGATGAATGAAGCTGTAGACTTTCCTCTGATGAATCACAGACTCCTCCTTGAAGATCTCAGTGCAAATCCCAGAATACACTGAAGCGTCAGTGATGTCTATGCCGCTCTCACTCAGGTCCTCCTCATAGAACATCACATTGCCCTTCATCAGCTGTTTGAAAGCCACTTCAGCAAGTTTCACAATCACTTCTCTGTTGGACTGCAGGAGTTTCTCTGGATCTCTCTCTTCATACTTCTGCTTCCTCATGTTGATCTGAATCAGCAGAAAGTGGATGTACATTTCAGTCAGAGTTTGGGGGATTTCTGCACTCAGATCTTCTTTCAGGAGCTTCTGAAGCACAGTTGAAGAGATCCAGCAGAAGACGGGGATGTGGCACATGATGTGGAGGCTTCTTGCTCTTCTGATGTGTGAGATGATCCTATTGGCTTGATGCTGGTCACTGATTCTCTTTCTGAAATATTCCTCCCTCTGAGGCTCATTGAACCCATGAATTTCTGTCAGACGGTTGATGTAATTGGAGGGGATCTGATTGGCTGCTGCTGGTCTGGAAGTGATCCAGATGAGAGCAGAGGGAAGCAGCTCTCCTTGCATGATGTTTGACATCAACACAGCCACTGATGAAGTCTCAGTCACATCACAAACTTTCTGAGTGTCTGCAAACATCAGTGTGATTCTGCTTTCATCCAAACCATCAAAGATTAACACAATTTTACACTCCTCATAAGTCTTTGAGTCCAGATCTTGAAGTTCAGGATGAAAGTCCAGCAGAAGTCTCTGAAGACTATATTGATGATCTTGAATCAAGTTCAGCTCTCGAAATGGAAGCAAAAACATGAAATCTACATCCTGATTGGCTTTTCCCTCGGCCCAGTCCAGAATGAACTTCTGCACAGAGATGGTTTTTCCGATTCCAGCGATGCCTTTAGTAAGAACAGTCTTGATTTGGTCTTTCTCCTCACATCCGGGTTCAGGTGAGGCTTTAAAGATGTCATTGCAGTAGATGGAAGTGTCTTGTGTGAGTTGTGTTCTGGCTGTTTTCTCCATCTGTAAAACCTCATGTTCTTCATTCACTCCTTCACGCTCTCCTTCTATGATGTAAAGCTGTGTGTAGATCCTGTTGAGGAGGGTTTCATTCTCTTTGAGCTTGATTCCCTCAAATAAGCTCTCGTACTTGTTCTTCATGCTGGTTTTATGCTTTTCTTTGACTCTTTTCAGGTCTTCAGTCTCCACCTGCAGGGCTGCCGGTGTGTAACAGAATCCGTGCATCTGTAGAACAGGACGTGTTCTAGATTTCTTTCTGCACAGAGGACAGTCAAAGTCCTCTGCTAGTCTTGACTGATCCCAGTAGAAACTGATGCAATGTCTGCAGAAACTGTGTCCACACATGATAGAGACTGGATCTCTTAGAACCTGCTCACAAGCTCCACATCTGGACTGATCCTGGATCAGATCATCCATCTTTTCACTAAAGAAATTGGTTTTTAATAACACAAAAGTTTGCCAAGAGCGAACAGTATAAATATTAAAGCATTCTATTGCAGTTTTCAGCATTATGTAATTATTTCAGCAGAGAGAGAGAGAGAGAAAAAAACTTGTAAGAACACATTTTCTGGTCAAGTTAATGTGAAATGGCAACTTATCAAAGTAGATGTGACCAAAATGTAATCAAGATGAAAGTTGAGAAGTTTTGTTTTGCAGCAAATGCATTCAACTTTCCACCTGCCACAGAACTCCACAACTGTTGCACAACTGTACAAAATCTAATGCCCCCCACACACTACAATATTTTATCCCTGTTTTACTGTTAAATGAAACTCAAGAAGTCTGTGAAGACTGTACTGATCAAGATCAGCTCTCAAAATGCAAACACACACGAAGAACATGTTAATGAAGAATGCAGACAAAAGTCCAAAATGTAACGCAAATCAGTGTTTGTTGACTTGAATGAATCTCTATGTTTGAATTATAAAAGACGCAAACTGAGAGATGCCCACCAATGCCCAAGAGATATTTAGCAGAAGTGCTACCAGGGTTGTGGTTTCCCTGCACAATTAGACCATTTTAAAAATGCAGTCATGGGAAAAATTACAGATCCACGGTTTGCGGTTTTGGCCTACTCATATAATGTACTGCTGCCGACAAAAGTGTATCTGTAAACAAAGAAAAATTTAAAAACATCCTTTTACTAATGTATGTTGATTTGGAGGGGATCTGATTGGCTGCTGCTGGTCTGGAAGTGATCCAGATGAGAGCAGAGGGAAGCAGCTCTCCTTGCATGAGGTTTGACATCAACACAGCCACTGATGAAGTCTCAGTCACATCACAAACTTTCTGAGTGTCTGCAAACATCAGTGTGATTCTGCTTTCATCCAAACCATCAAAGATAAACACAATTTTACACTCCTCATAAGTCTTTGAGTCCAGATCTTGAAGTTCAGGATGAAAGTCCAGCAGAAGTCTCTGAAGACTATATTGATGATCTTGAATCAAGTTCAGCTCTCGAAATGGAAGCAAAAACATGAAATCTACATCCTGATTGGCTTTTCCCTCGGCCCAGTCCAGAATGAACTTCTGCACAGAGATGGTTTTTCCGATTCCAGCGATGCCTTTAGTAAGAACAGTCTTGATTTGGTCTTTCTCCTCACATCCGGGTTCAGGTGAGGCTTTAAAGATGTCATTGCAGTAGATGGAAGTGTCTTGTGTGAGTTGTGTTCTGGCTGTTTTCTCCATCTGTAAAACCTCATGTTCTTCATTCACTCCATCACGCTCTCCTTCTATGATGTAAAGCTGTGTGTAGATCCTGTTGAGGAGGGTTTCATTCTCTTTGAGCTTGATTCCCTCAAATAAGCTCTCGTACTTGTTCTTCATGCTGGTTTTATGCTTTTCTTTGACTCTTTTCAGGTCTTCAGTCTCCACCTGCAGGGCTGCCGGTGTGTAACAGAATCCGTGCATCTGTAGAACAGGACGTGTTCTAGATTTCTTTCTGCACAGAGGACAGTCAAAGTCCTCTGCTAGTCTTGACTGATCCCAGTAGAAACTGATGCAATGTCTGCAGAAACTGTGTCCACACATGATAGAGACTGGATCTCTTAGAACCTGCTCACAAGCTCCACATCTGGACTGATCCTGGATCAGATCATCCATCTTTTCACTAAAGAAATTGGTTTTTAATAACACAAAAGTTTGCCAAGAGCGAACAGTATAAATATTAAAGCATTCTATTGCAGTTTTCAGCATTATGTAATTATTTCAGCAGAGAGAGAGAGAGAGAAAAAAACTTGTAAGAACACATTTTCTGGTCAAGTTAATGTGAAATGGCAACTTATCAAAGTAGATGTGACCAAAATGTAATCAAGATGAAAGTTGAGAAGTTTTGTTTTGCAGCAAATGCATTCAACTTTCCACCTGCCACAGAACTCCACAACTGTTGCACAACTGTACAAAATCTAATGCCCCCCACACACTACAATATTTTATCCCTGTTTTACTGTTAAATGAAACTCAAGAAGTCTGTGAAGACTGTACTGATCAAGATCAGCTCTCAAAATGCAAACACACACGAAGAACATGTTAATGAAGAATGCAGACAAAAGTCCAAAATGTAACGCAAATCAGTGTTTGTTGACTTGAATGAATCTCTATGTTTGAATTATAAAAGACGCAAACTGAGAGATGCCCACCAATGCCCAAGAGATATTTAGCAGAAGTGCTACCAGGGTTGTGGTTTCCCTGCACAATTAGACCATTTTAAAAATGCAGTCATGGGAAAAATTACAGATCCACGGTTTGCGGTTTTGGCCTACTCATATAATGTACTGCTGCCGACAAAAGTGTATCTGTAAACAAAGAAAAATTTAAAAACATCCTTTTACTAATGTATGTTGATCCTTGGGATGGCTACCTGGCAACATAAGAGCCACTGAAAGAGCAAGTGAAGGTGAGATGGTTTAAGAATGGTTTGAGAGACTGACAGATTCCCAGTGAAATGCTCTCCGACAGCAAATGCAATGAGTTTGTTTCCTTCTTTTCTGAGACGATCAATAATATCAGAAAGGCGATTAGCACATCCTCAAGTTATGCAGAGGTCAGACAGATTTGACCCCAATTTCAAAAAGAATTTACCATGTCTGGTTTTGAAGCAATTGATAGCAAAGTTTTGGAAGAAATAGTACAGCACCTTAAATTGTCAACCTGTTACCTTGACACACTTCCCACATCTTTTTTCAAAAGTGTGCTTAACCGTTTAGAAGCAGATCTCTTAGAAGTGGTGAATGCCTCACTTCTTTCTGGGACGTTTCCAAAATCCCTGAAAACTGAAGTTGTTAAGCCCCTTCTGAAAATGAGCAATCTTGATAGCACCATATTGAGCAATTATAGACCAATATCAAATCTTCCTTTTATAGCCAAGATTATTGAAAAGGTAGTTTTTAATCAGCTGAACAACTACTTAAACTCAAATGAATACCTGGACAATTTTCAATCTGGTTTCCGACCGCATCACAGCACAGAGACAGCGCTCATTAAGATAATAAATGAAATTCGCTTTATTTCTGATTCTGGCAAAATATCAGTGCTGGTGCTACTAGATCTTAGTGCTGCGTTTGACACTGTAGATCATAACATAGTTCCAGAGAGACTGGAAAACTGGGTCGGGCTTTCTGGGATGGTAATCAAATGGTTCAGGTCATACTTAGAAGGGAGAGGTTATTATGTGAGTATAGGAGAGCATAAGTCTAAGTGGACGTCTATGACATGCGGAGTCCCACAAGGATCAATTCTTGGACCACTCCTGTTTAGCCTGTATATGCTCCCACTAAGTCAAATAATGAGAAAGAACCAAATTGCTTATCACAGCTATGCTGATGATACCCAGATTTACCTAGCCTTATCTCCAAATGACTACAGCCCCATTGACTCCCTCTGCCAATGCATTGATGAAATTAACAGTTGGATGTGCCAGAACTTTCTTCAGTTAAACAAGGAGAAAACAGAAGTCATTGCATTTGGAAACAAAGATGAAGTTCTCAAGGTGAATGCATACCTTGACTCTAGGGGTCTAACGACTAAAGATCAAGTCAGGAACAGACCACTCAGATCATTAGGATCGAGTCAGTTAGAAATACCAAGGGTTCACACAAAACAAGGGGAGTCCGCTTTTAGTTATTATGCCGCCCGCAGTTGGAACCAGCTTCCAGAAGAGATCAGATGTGCTAAAAATTTAGCCAAATTTAAATGCAGACTCAAAACTCATCTGTTTAGCTGTGCATTTACTGAATGAGCACTGTGCTATGTCCGAACAGATTGCACTGTATTTTATGTATAATCATTTTCTATTTTTAATTGTTTTAAATTCATTTTTAAATCAATTTCAAAATCATTTTAAAAGTTAAGTTCATTGTTTTATCGTTGTGATTTTATTATGATTATTTTACTTCCTTTTATGTAAAGCACTTTGAATTACCATTTTGTATGAAATGTGCTATATAAATAAACTTGCCTTGCCTAAGAAGCATGTGAGGACACCTCAAAACCGAGAAGTTACATGAGATAGAGAATAGAGAATTTTAAGGCAGGTTAATAGAGTATATCTTTTAGACATAGCATTTAAATTGAAAAATCTAAAATCTGCTACATACAACTATAAGGCATACAAGTATAAACTTAAAATATTAGACCTGTCAGTGATCCAAGTCATGTGTGAATTTAGTTTTGACTGGAAATGATATCAGCGATGACAGACAGTGTTAAGAACAGCAATCCGATAACTTACTTAGACTTTGTGGCATTTCTCCACAGTTTGGCAAATCAACATACTGTAGTAAAAGTTCTATTAACACTGCTCATGTCTGCACTGCACTGTGTTTATGTAATCGGAATAATGGATTAGCTCCTCAAGTATATTATGCAACATTCTAGCATTTAGTGAAAAACCTGCTATGTTTATATAGCAGGATGCAGCCAAGAGGAGTTAGTGATTTTCTTTTTTTCTTTTGTTGTTTGATTCATTTTAATAACAGCAGCAGGTATAAGACTGCGGTCACTTTAAGACCCTATTGCACAGATTTAATATACTGAAACACACCTGATTTTCTCCCAACTGTTTACTTTCACTTAAAACGTAATGACTCTGTTTACCTGAATACTCAGCAAGACAAGACATAACATTGTGTATTTGACATTTAAGCGTGTTACAGTCAGCTTTCTGTGTGCACTCTGTGTGTCAGTCAACATGCGAGTACTTAATTTAGTTTTTTTTCTCTTTTCTTTTTTTCGTGGCTTATTGTGTTTAAAGGTGCCATATAATGCATTGATACAATATTTTAAATTGTTCTCTGATATCTACATAGAAGGTATGTGGCTTAGGTAAGGGCAAAAAATCTCCAGAAACGGTTTTACATGTCCATTTACAACCCTAGGATTTGTCCCTAGAATGAAATGGTCTGTTTTTACCTTATTTGGAAGGGTCATGAATAATAATGTTGAGCTCTGCTCTGATTGGCTGTTTCACAGTGCGGCTCAATGTTGAGCTCTGCTCTGATTGGCTGTTTCGCAGTGCGGCTCAATGTTGAGCTCTGCTCTGATTGGCCGTTTCACAGTGCGGCTCATTTCAGTAGCTAACACAGCAGGAAGGAAACACAGGGAAAATATATATTTCAATACTGTCTCTCGCAGTTATATCGTTGAGTAACTATACTGTATATAAAATGCGGGGCATTGAAAATGCTTTTGAATGCACGATCGCTTTTTACTTTCACTTT